AGTGGCAGAGAGGCAGTGGGCAGGGGGGTGGCTGCCTCCTCCCTCCCCTCCTCAAACACCAACCCCTCCCCACACCCCTGTGCCTCTCTCCCCAGCACTTGCTCCTCTTCCTGCTCTTCGTTGGACCTTTCAACTGCTTTGCCAGTTACAGCCGTGCCACCGAGCTCTTCTACAGCCTCAACGAGGGGCTGCCTGCTGGGTTGCTCATTGGCAGCCTGGCCCGTGACCTACAGCTGCCAACGTCTAGTGGGCAGCACCCTGCGGCCTCGCAGCCCCCACTCTCCTTCACTCTGGCCTCCCATGGCTTGGGGGGACAGTATGTGCATCTGGACAACCGCTCTGGGGAGCTGCACACCTCAGCTGTGGAGATAGACCGGGAAGCTCTGTGCGTGGAGAGCAGCGGGGCCACTATATTTGGGGGAGCAGCAGCTATATCCTCCTCCTCACCCTCATCCGAGTCATGCCTGCTGCTGCTGGATGTGCTGGTTCTGCCTCAGGAGTACTTCCGCCTGGTGAAGGTAAAAATTGCTATTCGGGATGTCAACGACAATGCGCCCCACTTCCCTGTGCCCCACATCCGCCTCTCAGTGCCAGAGAATGCACCTGTGAACACCCGTCTGGCTATCGAGCACCCTGCCCTTGACCCTGATGTGGGCACCAACGGTGTCCAGACTTACCGCCTGCAAGATAACTATGGTGTCTTCACCCTGGATGTGGAGGAAAATGAGAGTGGGGAGAGGACTCCCTACCTGATTGTTATGGGGGCTCTGGACAGGGAGACACAGGAGGAGTATGTCACAGTCATCGTTGCTGAGGATGGAGGCACTCCTCCACTTGTGGGCAGTGCCACCCTCACTATTGGCATCAGTGACATCAATGACAACTGCCCCCAGTTCAGCGACTTGCAGCTCAACATCACCCTTTATGGAAATTCCACTCTAGGGACACACGTGGCCACTGTCCACGCAGTAGACATGGACCTTGGATCCAATGCACAGATCACCTACTCCTACAGCCAGAAGGTCCCCCAGCCATCCAGAGAGTTGTTCCATCTGGATGAAAGCACAGGAGTCATCACGCTCTCCAGAAAAGTTGATGGGGACACTCCAAGACTCCACAGGCTGATCGTACTGGGCAACGGTCCAGGTTGTATCCCTGCTGTAATCACAGTGCTAGTGACCATCATCAAAGTCACGATGAGACCACCTGAAGTTGTCCCTCGTTTTATAGCTAATGAAGCAGAAGGGGTCATCTACTTAAAGGAACTAGAGCCTGTCAACACACCAATAGCATTTTTTACCATCAAAGACCCTGATGAAAAATACAAAGTCAATTGTTATTTGGATGGTGACGGGCCTTTCAGACTTTCACCATACAAGCCATACAGCAATGAATACCTGCTAGAGACCACAAAACCTTTGGACTATGAAACACAGCAGCTGTATGAAATTTCTGTAGTTGCATGGAACTCAGAAGGATTTCATGTCAGCAAAATAATCAAAATACAGGTTCTGGATGACAACGACAACTCTCCAGTTTTCTCTCAACAGCTGATAGAATTATCCATCGAGGAAAACAATGTCCCCAATGCTTTCTTGACCAAACTGTATGCTACAGATGCTGACAGTGGAGAAAGAGGGCAAGTGTCCTATTTTTTAGGGCCTGATGCCCCTTCCTATTTTTCTTTAGATAAAACCACAGGAGTTCTTAGGGTTTCCACCCAGCTGGACAGAGAAGAAAAAGAGAAATACAGATACACTGTCAAAGCAGTAGATTCTGGGTTCCCTCCTAGAGAATCAATAGCAACTGTCACCATCACCGTATTGGATAAAAATGATAATAGTCCGAGATTTATCAATAAGGATTTCAGCTTTTTTGTCCCAGAAAACTTTCCAGGTTTTGGTGAAATTGGAGTTATAAGTGTCACAGATGCTGATGCAGGGCAAAATGGATGGGTTGCCCTTTCAGTTCTGAATGGAAGTGATATTTTTGTCATAGATACTGGAAAAGGAGTTTTGAGAGCTAAAGTCTCTCTTGACAGGGAGCAGCAAAGCTCCTATGTTCTGTGGATCGAAGCAGTTGATGGTGGTGATCCTGCCCTGTCCTCTACTGCAAAAATAACTATCCTTCTTCTGGACATAAATGACAATCCCCCTTTGGTCTTGTTTCCTCAATCTAATATGTCTTATTTGTTAGTCCTTCCTTCTACTCTTCCTGGCTCTCCCATCACTGAGGTCTATGCTGTCGATAAGGACACTGGCATGAATGCAGTCATAGCTTACAGCATCATAGGAAGAAGAGGCCCTCGACCAGAGTCATTTAGGATTGACCCTAAAACTGGTAATATCACCTTGGAAGAGTCATTGATGCAAAATGACTATGGCCTCTATCGGCTGCTTGTAAAAGTTAGTGATCATGGCTATCCAGAACCACTCCATTCCACCGTCATGGTGAACCTTTTCGTCAATGACACCGTTAGCAATGAGAGCTACATTGAAAGTTTGTTAAGAAAGGAGCCTGATATCAGTATAGAAGAAAAGCAGCCACAAATATCCATAGAGCCCACACATAAAAAAATAGAGTCAGCATCCTGCATGCCTACCTTGGTAGCTCTGTCAATAATAAGCTTGAGTTCAATTGCTTTAGTAACAGGGATGGGCATTTACATCTGTCTAAGGAAAGGGAAAAAGCATCACAGAGCAGATGAAAACTTGGAAGTACAAATCCCATTAAATGGAAGAATTAACCTGCACATGTTGGAGAAGAAACCAGTGGAGATATCTAACATTTGATGTTTCTTTGTGGACAAATCCAATATCTGAAAACCTTGGAAAATGCCTAGTCCTGGGTTGTGTTGACAGGTTGCAATGAAGGACAGCTAATTTATAACTTAATAATATTATAATTGTAAATAGCTGTTTACAGTTTTTTAAATTCAAATTCGTGTACAGCTTTTCTATGAAACCTTAGTACTAACAGCTATCACCCTGTCTGTAAAAACATGGACATCATTTGCAGCTTTCAAAAACCAGTAAGATCAGTGATCATAAAAAAGGGGAAGGTAAGACAATTCTTTAAACTCAAGTTTTAAAAGTATTTTTAACCACGAGAGGGCATCAGAGATTCCTGAGCAGGGAGCTGTTCGAGATAGTGTCCATGGAATAAACACAGAGTATATTTTAAATATATTGATTTTAATATAAAATACACATTGGCATACAGACATTTAGGTGCCTAAAAAAAAAAAAAAAAGTCTGTTCTGATGTATTTATAATTAAAAGAATAAAGACATTAAAATGCACTAGTAATAATAATTTAAAAAAAAACAAAACACAAAAAAACAAAACAGAATGTTTATTACCTCACAAGTAAAGCTTATACAGTAGGATAGAAAAGGCATTAACAAGAAGTGCAATTCCTGTTGAGCAAGAATGCAAGGTATTGTAATGAGAATCTGAACTGCTGTGACATATCATCTTTCATTTGCTCCAGATTTCACCCACATTATCATTTGCTCCAGCAATCTGCTAGTCATTTTTATGGAAAATTATATTTAATATTTCCTACAGCAAACAATGACAGAACGCCATGCTCATCCTCATAAACATGCCAGATGCAAGGAAGCAAGGGAATGGCTAAGTCTTTAGTTGTCACAGAAATGATGATATTTTTTGTACTTTGAGCAATCTGTCAGTAGTACTTAATCAGTTTGGTTGTGTAATAGATTTTTCATGTGATACTTCTGCATCTGATCTGCCAGATGAAAACAAAAATTGCTTCGTATTATAAAGAATTATAGGACTTAGTTTATTCTGACTATTGCTCCTTTCTGGATTAGTATTTCATGTGAAAGATCTTGTTTCTGACTTTTGGCAACCATTCCTGGCTCCTTTTCATTGGCTTTGATTTTGGATTAGATCCAAAATCTAACTTGTAAGACTGGTGGCATATTTCCTTGATAATTTATTCTTTGCTGTATCCTCTGCAACAAAGCAGCAGGTTTACTAGTGATGTATCACTTTCACTTCCTTTTAAGAGCTGAGAACTATCTTTTCTATGATGATTACATACAATTTCTCTGTGTGAACAAGATAAATTAGTGTTATGCTTAAAACTGATTATTTTGATTTCTGGCATCATATGTCTGTAATGTACGAAAAGTGTTTATATGTCTGCAAATTAAAGCTATATATTTTCATAATAACATACTCTCTGTCTCTCTCCTAGAATTTTAATAACAAAGCTAAATAATATTTTAGTCATAAGAATGGCATATTTCACAAGTGCTTGGGTGCTGGTTATCTTGACTGACGTGTCATAATACCTGGCCATATTAATAAAATTCAAATTCAGTTATGCTGTACTTCTTGAAATTGCTGGCAAAGACAATTGCATTTCAGCTGCTGGGACAGCAGCTGATACCTGTTTTAAACATAGAGAATGCAATTTGAAGCATTTTAAATTTTTTTCTTTATATGGGCACATTATGGGCACGTTACTTCACCTCGAGCCTGTTGGAAATGTTGGAGCTTCTTAAAGATGCTGGTTCTGTTTAGCCTAAGTAATAGTATTAATATAATACCCAGATTATGCCATTATACCTATAACAAATAGCTTTGTTGTTTTTGTTTGGGTTTGTTGCTTTTTTTTCCAGTTTAAAAATATTTTCTGTTTATACAGTTTGTTAGCTGCATTTCATGGAAAAGCAGTTCAGCCTGTCAAAAGGTTAATTACCTATTTATTTTTTTTTCATATTATTAAAATATGAAAGTGTTATTTGTGCCTGAAATGCATTTGTTAGAAGAGAATTGTTTATTATTATTATAATTGTTTATTATTATCTCTGAAGAAAAATGACATTAATCTTTTGGAAATGGCTTCAGTATTACAGATACTCTGTATTGTTGTGGTGGGAAAGCTAGACCTTCTGTGTTTTCCTCTTCAGGAAGGAGGCAAGGTAACTAAAGGGAACATAGGATTCTTTTCATTGCTCTTCTCTTACTAGAATTATCAGTCTAGTATCTTCTCAAGACAATTAAAATAGGAGAAAATCCAAGACTTAAGAAATACAATAAAACCATAAATCTGATTCTTCAGTGTATGTTAATGTGACACTGGGCTGATATTTTTATCCAGGTTTGACAAACACAGTCCTGAACCTCTTGGTTAAGCTTACTGGGTTTCAAAGAGCTGTTCTTTTTGCCTTTTTTTGATTTGTTTAGTTCAATCACATTCCTAATGCATAATAAAATATAATGGTATGAGTCTGTTAAAACCAAAGTACTGCACACAAAGCATTCCGCTCACGTGATTTTCTACACACTTAAGGAAAACTGGTTTGAAATCACACCTTCAGCCATACCAGCACCACTACTTATGAAAAAGTTCACCCTGAATAATACTTCATAGAGTAATAGCATATTTTTGCCTTCCTGTGAGTAGCCTTTGGGTAGGTAATGTCACTGAAGATGATAAAAGAAGCAGAGTGAGTTGTTTGGGTTTTTTTTAATTCCATATTTTGAGTTCCTAAAATACATAGAGCTGGTAGCAACAAGTAATAAACCTGCAATGTCAATCCTGACGGTGATTAGAAAAAAAACCACCAAGAATCTTAAATTCATAGAAATTAGATTTTATTTTTTTTTCTCAAAAGGAGTTCTTTCTCTGTGGAAAAATGCTTGATATTGTCTATATAGCAAATATTTGTGCTGTTGCTATTTCCAAAGTATCCCTTACAGAAATCCCTTTCACGTGAAAACACTTTTTTAATGTGTATAACTCAAGTAAATTAGACTCAAATATAAAAGGCCTATTTTATTACCATCGTGTGCAGTGTACTTGCCAAAATATATGCAAATCTTGTCAACATTGGTAGTTGAGCTGGCACAAAAATAAATGTCTCATTCATTTACAGTATTCATGGAACAATCTTAGAGTAAGTGAGTGCTCTTTGCTCATTTCTATAATAATTAGATTCTCCTAAACTTTGTGTTGCCAAAGCCTCCTAAACTTGCCATACACTTTTAAATTCAAATTAACAAATTAAAAACTAAAAGACAAGAAATGGGCAGTGAGCTCAGTGGCAGTGGACAGAGAAAATTAGCCTTCCCATTCTGTTTAGTATTATTCTTTTTAAAAGATCTAGGAGCCCCATTAGTCTTTGAAGTTACTGTTTTGATGCAAAATTTGATGCAAAAAGACTTCTTTACTGTAAGGGTTACAGAGCACTGGAACAGGATGCCCAGAGAAGTTGTGGAGTCTCCATTTCTGGAGACTTTCAAGACCCATCTGGATGCTTTTCTGTGTGACCTGCCCTAGGTAGTCCTGCTCTGACAGGGGCATTGGACTAAATGATCTCTAGACGTCCTTTCCAACCCCTAACATTCTATGATTCCATGAAAACTAACCTTACACCTGGCTAAATATCAATAAAGGATGAGATCTGAAGTTGTGGATGGGGAATTAGAGTACATTGCATTTTCTTACATCAAAACCCAAAAAACAATTAGTCTTATGGCCTTTTACATCTATTTTCTAGTACTAAGGTTCAAGAATGCAACTGTGCCAGAGTCCAGAGGACAAGGTAAAAGTCTCCTACTCTCTTAATAGGATGCCTGATAAGAGGTACAATGTTAGAGGAAAACTTTGCCTCCCTGAAAGCAATCACGACCCCCTGATTGCTGACCAGGGTTTAAAAGTACGTTTTCTGCTCCCCCCTGCTATTTTGGGAAAGTTTCATTAAAATGCTCAGACGTGAAGAGGATAGATAATCCGTAACTAATATTTCACCTCCTGGTTCAAAGCAATGAGTTTTCAGGGAGCAGTCTAGCAGTTCAGCATAAGTGGAGAGATACAGCATCTCTGCCACAAAGAGCTCATCAGCTGAATATGCAGTGAGTTTCTTTTCATGATCCAGGTGTGTTATCAGAGCTGTGCAGGAAGCTGAGTGCCACCTCCCCTGTACTGTGCTTGTCACCAGCTTCTCACAGCCGTTAGTTTCTATATAGATTCCGTCTTACTTGTGTAACTTGGAGTGAAAAACAAAGTAAAACAATTAATTGTCAAATCAGCCAGCTGAAATACAAAACTTTGGTTTAGACAACTCTCCTTTGAGAAACTAAGCATATTCATCTTCCTTACCAAAATTATTTTGTTTTAAAAGAGATGCCGAGTGAAAATTCAAGTGGAATTAAAGTTATTCAGCACCCCCACTTCCTACAGAGTAATGCCCTTTTTTTTTTTTTTATTAATTTTATTTTTTATATGAGTAGTTGTTGCTCAGACAGTTGAAGGAATTAGTTTTATGCTTTATTTTAATAGTGTGGAAAATGTTCTGAGGAAACAACTTGAAAGCTTCTAACTTACTGGTTCCTAACAGGTTGCTCAGAGATATAAAATCTCAAATGATTGGCAACATGTCATGATTTACAGTTTCATGAGTTAAAGCATGTGCAAAAATATCTGTGCAGGTGGCATTGTTATTTTCTTTTCAGTCTATGCACCAGACTGAACCATCAGGTAAGGAGATAAAACTGCCAGCTGCATTCTGGAATGGAGGGAATTCAAGGATTTTGGCTCACAAACAAATGTAAAGTTAAACTGGTCTTTTTCATACTATAAATGAGAAAAATGTTTTCATTCTTTTCAGGACAGATTTATAAGCTATGTACTCTTTCTAACATGTTACATACAAATGTTTCAGTGCTTTCTGCTATATTTTTGTTCCAGTTTTGACAGGGAACGAATTTTAAAGGCCAGATTTCAACTCCTAAATATTTCTGATGACAGAGTGCTTTGAACAGATACTAAGAAAACATCATTCTGAATGAAGAAGTATTGCATCATTTATCATTAATTCAGTCATTCATTTCACTGCATGTGAAAACAAATCTGTCTTTAAGTGTTGACTTTGCAGGTTTTCATGGTGCTAGCTAATGCAAAACGTATTTAACTGAAATACATTGTATTTAAGCTTTGTTCAAATTGAGAGGACTTGCATTTTAAGCACCAAGTTGGATGTTGCTCTATTCCCTGCAGCCCTAGCAATGTAAATTTAGTCATGTGTCCTAACTATTTTGCCTTATTTTCCATCTACAAAGTTTTGATTAAATATGTATCTTCAGAGCAAGTTGTTGAGGTGAGAACTGTTACCTTTTTTATGCAAAACCGGTTCAAAGTTAGTGACAGTTTGGTTTCTCTGCCTATGTGTCAGCCTCTAGTGCTACTTGAGATGCCTTGAGGTATCC